CGGATGGAAGGATGGACTATGGATGAATGGATGGATGGACGGATGGATGGGTGGGTGGATGGGTGGATGGATGGATGGATGGATGGGTGGGTGGATGGATGGATGGATGTGCACATGGATGGGTGGATGGATGGATGGATGGATGTGCACATGGATGGATGGATGGGTGGGTGGATGGATGGATGGATGGACAGATGGATGGAAGGATGGACTATGGATGGGTGGGTGGATGGATAGATGGATGTACACATGGATGGATGGATGGATGGATGGGTGGGTGGATGGATAGATAGATGTACACATGGATGGATGGATGGTTAAAGAGTTCCCAGACAGTGGCCTCACGCCTTCCACCCTGTAAGACAACAGGTGGGTGCCCCATAAAGCATGGGAGGTCTCACCACACTGTGGATCTGCAGGAGTCTCCAGAACAGTGAGAAATAAACTGCTGCTGCTGTTTAAAAGCTACTTACTTCTTGTATTTGGCTGTAGCAGCCCAAATATTGTAAGACAGTATCCCAAATACTCCTTTCACAATAGACTATATTATAACAGTGGTAAAAATATCAGAGGCTGCAATATTACTATGTTCAATGTTCCCCTGCTTATAAGTGTCAGGCAATAAAAAAACCCTGTTCTTATGAATTCCTACTCCTAATATATCTAGCACTAAACACACATGTCTTCCCGACTTTACCATGTGTGTTCTGCCTCACATGGCGGCGGCTGCCCTCATATACCAGTCTGGATGCTGGCCCTCTGGTCTGGGCACCCCCCTACTGGTCTGACTGCTCGCTGGTCACACAGAAACTTAATCTTTCAGGACATTTCAATCTTCTTTCTAACAATTGGAGGGAACAAGTCCCAAAATTCCAATGCACCATTCTTTAGGTTTTGTGTGATGTAAGAAATGAAGTACAGGGAGAAAAGAGACCACAAGATGACACTGACTGCAAATCTTAGTAATACTTTGTAATTATTTATCAGTTGTTTATTTAAAAAACTTCAGGCACTACTCAAAAGTTAGCATACCTTATTTAACGTTCACAAAGCCTCTGAAGCACTGCGAACTCTAAGCATTGCCCTTTTAGAGACTGAAAACTGGACTCAAAGACACCGAGTTGCCCAAGTCCAGGCAGACCAGGAACAAGGATCAGGCCTGGAGACCCTGCGACCTTTGTCCTGCACACATTGCCTTCCTGAAGGGAAGCGGAGACAGGGAAGTGCCTCTCTAGCTGGCCCACCTCCCCAGTAAGACCCCTGAGGGTCTGCGTGCCCCACCCCAAGGGTCGTCCTGGGCGTTTCCTGCAGCCCTGGCTGCACCACACCTGTGGCCACGTGAGCGACCACCACCCCTCATTCATGGCGTCCCAAATGCCAGTCTTCCCAGATGGCGCCAGTTGGACAACATCTTTTATGACAACATATTGGTCATATTTTGGTTATAGGGTCCTAGGCCTTCTTAGAGGGCTCACAGCAAACTCTGTTAATTCAACAGCATTGATCTTCACAGAGCAGGTGTCCAGTATATGTTTTTTTTTAAGATTTGTTTATTTATTTATTTAAAAGGCAGAGAGAGAGAGAGAGGGAGAGGCAGAGGGAGTGATCTCCCATCCATTGGTTCACTCCCAAAATGGCTGCAACAACTGGGGCTGAACAAGACCAAAGCCAGGAGCTGGGAACTCCACCTGGGTCTCCCACACGGGTGGCAGGAGCTCAAGGACTTGACCATCTTCTGCTGCCTCCCAGGTGCGTTAGCAGGAAGCTGGATCGAAGTGCAGAGCAGCCAGGACTCTGTCCCAAGCGCTCTGATATAGGATCAGGCATCCAAAGCAATGGTTTAACCCACTGTGCACAGCACTCATCCTTTCCATAAATAATTTTAGGTACTGATTTGTGAGGATCCATAAGTAAAAATACACAGGAACAGCATGTTTATTAGCTGTTTCTTAAAAAATTTACTTTGAGGCCAAATGCAATGAAGTCCTCTTCATCTTGGCTATGGGACAGGAAAGCAGAGTAACAGGACGTGGGTGGAGCTTCTGAGCACCCCAGCCCTGAGTGTGGAACTCAGCCCCTTTCTTGTAAACATGCCCCACCCTGCAGTTACGCAAAGGCTGGGAGGGTGCACGACCTGCATGGGAACTTCCAAAGTGTCTGGAAAATGAAATTGCTTTTCAGAGTGCACCTGTCCCTGAGCTTTCTCGAGAGCCCTGAATGTGCCCACAGCAGCACCTTCTTCCCCCACGCGGGGAGCGAGGATGGGGCAGAGCTTCCTTGTCCAGCACAGGCTGAGGTCAGCACCCAGTTTCTCCTCACTGCTAGCACACTGATAGCATTGGCAGTGGAAATCGCAGATTCAGCAAAAAATTAAATACTAAACAATGTAACATATAATGTGACCTTTTATGAAAGGTGATTGTTAGATTAAGAGCCAATTTAGATTGTTAAATGATTAACATAATGGTTGAACAAACATGAAGATCCAGTCTGCAATATGCTGTTAATACATATGAATTTTAGAAGTTTTTTAAAAAATATTTATTTATGTATTTGAAAATCAGAGTTACAGAGACAGAGAGACCTTCCATCTGCTGGTTCACTCCCCCAGATGGCCACAATGGCCAGGGCTGGGCTGGTCTGAAGCCAGGAACCAGGAGCTTCTTCTGGGTCTCCCACACGGGTGCAGGGGCCCAAGGATCTGGGCCATCTTTAACTGTTTTCCCAGGCGCATTAGCAGGCAGCCAGATTGGAAGTGGAGCTGCCAGGACTCGAGTTGGCCCATATGGGAAGCCAGTGCCACAGACAGACAGAAGCCTAACCTTCTATGCCACAGTGCCAGCCCCTGGACGTCTTTTTAGGCAGTTTGTATTCATCTAAAATTAAATATATGCTTTTTAGGGAAAAGCCAAAATGATTCCAGTTAAATGAGCTACACACTGCTTACAAACTGCCTTGCCCCCTCGTGACAGAAACTCAAAGTAGACTTTCCCGGTCTGCTCCGTTTTCTTCCTGTGATCAATATAGTTTCCTCAAGAAGGAGAGAAAATTAAACCAGCTCTCGCAGAAGCAATCAGTTTTTGCCAGTCATCCTCAAATACAGCTTGTTGCTAATTGTCTGCATTACTCTTTCAACACTTTGGTCCCTCTCCCGGTCAAGGTGTTAGTGCAGGAGTGGATCCCCCGCTGTGGGAAGGGCAGTGAAGCCTGGCGCCCCGGCTTCCTGCAGAATGGCTGTGGCCGGACCTTCTCGGGGACAATCCTGGAATCGTCTTAGACTTCAGGACGGAGCCAACCACCTCATTCTACACGGAAGGAAACGAGGAGACTCGGTGACTTTTCCGTGCGACTCCACGCGTCTTTGTGGGAGTGCGCTCAGCTCGGCAGTCCTGCCCGAGGACCCGCACTCACACGTCCGGTGCGTGGAGCTCTCCACCAGAGTAAAGGTCAACACAGCAGTGCGTCATTGCTTGGAGGCTGCAGCGATTGCGACTGCAAACGAAGGGCACCCGGCGCCGTTTCAGCCTAGAATTTCAGAAGCCAGGATGAGTCCGACCCTTAACTGGCCGTCTGTGTGGACCCGGCACCGCGCTGGGCAGGCCCTGGGGCGCTCCGGCGTGGGGCAGTCTCTCGGAGTGGCTGGGAGGTGCAAGGCGCCGTCCGAGCAGCCCAGCAGGTGCCGTGAAGAACCAACACCTTAGCTTGGTTGGTAGACCTGGGGTGGGGTGGGGTGGGGAGCTTCTGGAGTTTTTCAGGAGCTTTGATTCTGTCAAACACTATTTGAAAAAAAGTACTTTAATATGAATTTAGATGAAAATAAATGTCATTAGGCTAAAATTTTTTTTAGCCACACCAACACTTTCTCAAAAAGTATTTCACACCAAAGCAGTTCGCTAGAGCGGGAGCCAGGCAGGTCTCTCTGCTGGGGGCACTGGCGCACCTGCGGGACCCGCACCCGGCCAGGACGAGCCTCGCTAGGCGGCGCTCTCCATTTGCAAACCGCAAACCCCCCGCCCCCACGCACGCAGGAAATCTCACTGTCTGCCTCAGGGCCGCTTGAGGAGAATTTTCACTTTTTCCTGCGTGTTTCAGCAGAAGCGTTCGCGTTTCAGTCACGCTGCAAGCCCTAGACCTGGCTGTGACATCAAACCGTGCGCGGGGATGAAAACGCGCACGGGGCAAGGGAGCCTAGGTGGCCCCGTTTTAATGTCCTCCACCTCTGCCTCACCCACCCCTGCCTTCTGCTCGAGGAACCGCAGCTGTTGAAAGGAAAAGTGACGGAGACGCACGCAGGCCAGAGAGGGACGGAGAGAGACGGAACCCGAGAGAATGGCAATGGCGGAGAGACAGGAAAGATGCCTTGTCACAGGCACCGACGTGTCCGAGGCAGCGAGGCAGGTCAGAGCCAGGAGCCCGCAGGGGACCCCGCAGCCGCCCAAGGCCCCGCCCCGCACACGTGCGCGCCCGCAGCAACGCGGGGCTAATGGCGGAGGCTGCAGGTGGCGCGCCCTCCACGGCGGGTTCCTGCTCAGAACACCTTCCTCGGCCGCTTGGAGGGTGTCCAGCTCTTGCCCAGAAAGCGCCAACAAAATGGGAAAGTGCGTAATTGAGTGATAATACAATTTACAAGAAAAAAAAATTAAAGCAGGCGAGCAGTTGAACCCCACGGAGTGCCCGGCACACCCGAGGGATCAAACTCCCCAAAGACGCAGCCCTGGGGGCCCCCTCAGCGTTCGCGCGGTCTGGGGGCGCAGGGTCCCCCCGCGGGGCCTCCGCGGGCGCTCGCGCGGTCTGGGGGCGCAGGGTCCCCCAGTGGGTTGCCTCCCGTCTCCGGAGCTTAAGGTCTGGGTTCGGACAGAACCGACGAGTTCCCGGCAAAGGCGCTACTCGCGCCCCTGTCACTAGGGACGGCGCGGAGCCGGACGCAGGGGGCCGGGCGCGGGGCGGGGCGGAGAGGAAGGAGCGGGGACCGGGAAGTGGGGGACGGGGCGGGGGCGGGGGTCTGACGAATCTGCGCGCCGGTGCGGGCGCTCCAGCGGCTTCTAATTAAAGCCGGCCCGGAGCCCTCGGGGACCCGCCTGACGCTGGCGGGCGCCAGGATAAGAAGCGCCCCGAGCTCGGCTGCGGGTCTCGGCGCCGGCGCACCCAGGACCGCCGGTCCACCTCGGAGCGACGACTCCCGCATCCCGCGTGCCCTGCACTGTACGAGCCAGGCGCGCTGGGCATGGAGTAGCGGGGTGCGCGGGCTCGGGGCGCACGGACTCCGGGTGCACGGGCTCGGGGCGCAGGCACACGCTCGAGGACTCCGAGGCTCCCGGCGCGGGCGCAGGTAACGCAGCTCGGTGCTGAGCACAGGTGGCCCGGCGGGCGGCGCGGGGCAGGGGTTGAGGGACCTCCCCGGCGGCGGAGCGCGGGTTTCGCGCTGGGATCTCGGTGAGGCTGGGACCCTGAGGCCGGCAGGACCGCCGCACAAAGGCGAGGAGGGCCTGGGCCCGGCGCGCCGCGCTACGGTGGGGCGGGGCGGGGCGGGGTGGGGGTCTCCCGCCGCGGCGTTTCCAAAGGTTCGGGAAAGTTGTGCGGTGCTGCCCCCGCGGCTTACTGGCCCACCCTGCGGTGCAGAGGGAAGTTCGGGACCTCCGGGTGCGCCCGGGACCTTCGCATCAGCCGCTGTCGCTCGCTCCGGGTGGGACCTGGGACGGGTCCTCGCGGAGAGCGCCTCCGACCACGACCAGCAGTCCCAGGCCTCCGCGGGGGTGCGCGGCTCCGGGAGTGAGGGGGCCCTGGGAGCCGAGGCTGTGGGTCCCCAAGGGTCTAGGGATGCGGGGTCCCGTCTGCCGCAGCCCGGCGGGTCCGCCCGCTCCCGCCTTTGCTCCCCGCCGGCTGACCGCCCTCCCTGCCCCCGTCCCTTCTTCTCCCAGCGAGCGGAGCTCCGAGAGCGCGCGGAATCCGCCCGCCGCGCCCGAGCTGCGATGCGCGGGCCCGGGCGCCCCCTCCTCCTGGGGCTGCTGCTCCTGCTGGGGGCGGCAGGGCCCGGCCAGGGGGCCGCGGAGCCCCGGGAGGCCGCGGACAGGCAGACGCTGCTGCGCCTCATGGTGGAGATCGTCCAGGAACTCAGGAAATACCACTCCGGGGACCCGAAGAGGCTGCGGATCCTCGGCGCGCAGGACGACGCCCTGCGCCCCGGGGAGGCCGCGAACTACGGCGCCGACCCGGAGGAGCAGAGAGTGGGTGAGGGTCCCGGCTGGGTGTGGACCTGAAGGACTGGGAGGGGGCGAGGGTCCCGCGGTGTGGGCCGAGGGCACTGCCCCTGTGTCTACCTGCCATGTCAGAGACCACGCAAGATTTGTATTTGCTTGGAGACAGAATTGTCGTTGAGAAACACATTTTTTAAAGAAAAATCTATTTTGAGCTCTTTTTTTTAAGAAGGAATTTTTGTTTTACGAGAAAGCAAAGGGCAGAAACGGAAGGCCGGTGCGAGGCCTCCGGGATACCAGCGGCTAGGCTGCTTCCACGGCCTGGAGCTGCTGCCTGGGTCTGCTGTGTGGCTCTCCCCGCGCAGAACTTTCGCAGCTCTGAGGGGAGTGCCAGGAAGGCCTCCAGGAGACCCCACCTGGCCAGAGGGAGGCAGGGTGTCAGTGTCCCTCTGGCAGGCAATCCCAGTGAGGTCACCAGCCCAGTGCAGAGGGTGGCTGTGAAGAGCAAAACCCAGCCTGAGAGCACAAAGGGTCTCTGTGCGGTAGGGAGGCCTTTGGTTCTGAGGGGTCTTTCTCTAGAACTCTCCTTCCTTGGGGGCCAGAGTACTGTCTGCCTCCATTCTTATGTATGGGAGTTACCAACAGGTGGTTTTAAAGGCATTTAATCTTTTTTCTGGAAGACTTTTTTTTTTTTTTAATTTGAAGGATCAGGTTTTCTTTCCAGACTGAAATATTGTGGGATTTGAATCCCAAACTCTTCAAACTTTCTACAAGTGATTTACTTAAGGAAATAATAAAAAGCTTTCTTACTTAAAAGCTACAACCTTATGGCCTCTATCCCCTCCCCCTGTAATGCATGCACTCTAACGTGGGCGCTGTGGGCAGTGAAGCTGCGCGAAGAAAACCGTGCCCCTGACAGGAGCCTGACCTGGTGCCGTCTCTCACAAGCAAGGGTGCTCTGGTCTGCTTGTCACTTGCAGCGAAGCAGGGCTAATGCAGCTTCCGATCATTTTCCTCAACACTCAGCTCAGATTGCATTTTCTAAAAGGCTTCATTCAGGCACTATAATGATTCCTTTCCCCTCACACAGAAATTGTTCCTAGAGATCTCAGGATGAAGGACAAGTTCTTAAAACACCTCACAGGTGAGTTCTTGCTCTCCCCTCCCTCTCCCAGGCCCTCTGCAGCCTCTGTGTCCTCACCGGCTGTGTCTTCTTCCCTGTTCCAGGTCCTCTCTATTTTAGCCCAAAGTGCAGCAAACACTTCCACAGACTGTATCACAACACCAGAGACTGCACAGTCCCCGCATGTAAGTGACCAGGCTGGATGCTTCACGGATGAGTGCCCACAGCCCTCCCCTGCTTCACCTCCCCTTGCATGAGTAGGGGCCCCGCCCCCAGACTCCCATCTGCTCTGATATAGAGTGAGGGCCAGGATGACCAGACCACTGGAGGAGGTATTCAGTTCCACCTCAGCTAATGCCAGACTGAAAATCATTTACATAATTTACTGGAATTAACCAACCCTTGGAATGGGCTGGACTGCTCCTCTGTTTTGTGGATTTTCCACTGACGCCTGTGTTTCCAGCCACTCCACCGTGACGATGAAGACAGGTAAGAAGGAGCTGCTAAAAGGATTACTGCCCAGGGCTATGGCCCAAGTTCAGAGGACAGAGCCACCTGGAGTGCTCCAGACACATGCCTTGACCAGAGGCTGTTCTCTTCCAGGAGCTGTAGCCTCCTCACCCAGGAATGCTGTTGCTTTCTAGCTGCCTTCGCCACTGTACAAGCTGCCGGTCCGTCAAGCTCAGCTGTGTGCCTTTTTCTCCCACTGGTGTCTTTTCATTCTCTTCAGACTTCCAGTTGTTTTTCTATAACAAAACATATTTTCCCCAAAAGTGGATTGTTTGGCTTTTCACGAAACCATTACTTTTTTTTTTTTAATTGGGACTGCAACTTTCATTTCATGTGAAGCTCACAGAAGAAAAACTAGGCAGATCCAGGACGAATCTGCTAAGGGCTTCAGAGACTGCCCCAAGACCAGCATGCTACATGTGCCTGTTCTGCCTGTCCAGGGGCAGGAGAAGGGGGAGAAAGCAAGGAAGCAACTGAGAAAAACAAGAAAGGAGGAAGAACAAAAGCCAATTTGCATAAAGGACAGGTTTTTTTCCCTTGGTTCAGCCAGCAAAGTTACTTATTAATATATAATCATCATTTTCAGAGCTAGGCACATCCCCAAACACCTATCAGGGGTCTCGGGCAGCTCCATGTGGTATCACAGCTCCTTTCAGTCAAAGTTGCAGCACAGGCAAGAGGCACACAGGTCCTACACTGGGGAAGAGTGCTAGGCTCACCTGGCGGGCTCACTGGCGGGCTCACTGGCTAGCTCACCTGGCTGACCTTGCTAGCTCACCTGGCTGGCTATCCTGGCTGGCTCACTGGCTGGCTATCCTGGCTGGCTCCCTGGCTGGCTCCCTGGCTCCTGAGCTGCAGTAGCACCCTGCTCAGCACATGCTGTTCCCACAGTGCTGTGACTTGTTACTTCCCAGGCACTGTGTTCAGCCCCTTTCCCTCGCTGTGTGCTGCTGCTCCTGACACTGACTTGTCTGAGAAGTGTGCACCTGCTTCCCAGGGCCAGAGAATCCTGTCGTTATTGCGGCTCAGATGTGTTCATATTCTGTGTTATATACTGTCTTAGAATAACAGGATTTTAGATTCTAAATTGGAAAGTGACCTTCAGGTCACTGCAACGAACTTAAGCAGTTTGTGCCACCAGTCCACGTCACGGTCACCAGGTGCCCTGGCTCAGGGCAACTCGGCTTTGGAGCCAAGAGCTGGCAGGTCTGGGTGCTGGGATGAGTGGCTTCTGAATGTCACTCCCACCTCTTCCTAGCCCACGGGGCCTGGAGAGCTGAGCTGGCAACTTCCATGCTGCTCCAAACCGTGGAAGGGAAAATCCCCGAGAGCCTGAAATGAAGACCCCCAGAGCCTTCATGCTCAGCGTGGGGGCTTCGTGGCCCCTCACACACCCGAGTTAGAAAATCTGCATCCTGGTGAACTTCCGGGTTTCTATGCAGTACAGGGTGTGGAGGCAGGGCCAGGGGCATCTGCAGAGTGGGACAGTAGCTGGCCCTGAGTCCCTGCTGTCCACGCCAGCAGCCAGCCCTGGACTGCGCTGTGGAGTCTGGGAGCCCGCGCTGCAGCGAGTGCTGTCGCCAGGTCTCGCGTGGCTCGGTCGCAGCTGTTCGATGAGGTTTCCCCTCTGAGGGCAAACCCCCACGCTGAAGACGCGCGCAGAATCAGACTCCCAGCTGCGGGCGAAGCTCTCTCGGCTGTGCTGGGAAGCAGGCGCTCTGGGCGCCGCGGCTCCCGCCTGCCCTTGCTGAGCGCGGCGCGGTGGCCGCAGCGCGGGCTCTCGGGCCCGGAGCGCAGCGCTGCCGCCGCGTGCGGCCCCGCGTTCCTGAGTCGGGCCGCGCGCTCGTGTGTGGAGAGGGCGCGCAGCCTCGCTCCTGAGGTAACACCCGAGGCGGGGAGAACGCGAGCGGCTCCGCGCAGCCCCCGGCCGCCCCGGCACGTGATCTGCTTCCCCGGGGCACAGAAAGTGTCAGACCAAAAGCCCAGAGCCGCTGATGGCGGAGGACAGCCTGCACTGCTTCCAAGGAGTTCAGAAAACTAAAGAAGCACTGGCCCAGACGCTGATGCACTTGCGACAAGCATGCTGCTCGCTCGCGGGCTGCGCGGTCACTGACGGCGCTGTGGTCTTTTCCTTGCAGACTACAAGCGATGCGCCCGGCTTCTCACCCGCCTGGCCGTCAGTCCCATGTGCACCGAGGGATGAGGTAAGCTCCCCGGGCTGGGCTTCCACGTGGGACCGGAGGCGCTCGGGCACTTAGAGATGCGCGTTCCCGGGCTGTGGTAGCCTTTCTTGGAGTAAAAAGTGGGCGCTGCACAAAACCTCGGGCTAGTAATCGGCCATAAACACAACGCGCCCCCTGCTGGCCAGTCTGTAGAACTCCAGGGGCTTCGGAGCGGACGTTGCAGAAAGCAGGCTTCCTGCTTGAAATCCTGCCCCGGGCTCCTGGCCTCAGGCGTTCACCCACGCAGGCGAGGACAGGTGCTCTTGGACCTACCACGGGGCTCCACCTGACAAAGCCAGCGCAAGCACAGGTATCCCAGGTCGAAACGTATTTCCTGCCCCTGACCCAGAGTGTCAGCTGTGTGCCCTGGTGGCCCGGGAAAAGATGGAACTTGAAAGTTCGAACTGTGGTTCCTACTGACTTCCTAGTGCTTGGAGCCACCAGGAAACAGGGTGGGGACAGGGCTGTCTGCACGGGGCTGACCACGGCTATGAAGAGTCCCCTCCATAACCTGTATCTGAAGGTCTGACCCGGAGTCCGTCGTTATGCCCATAAGCTTAGAAGAACTGCCCTCTTTAAGTGCTTCTATCCTAACACCTAGTAGTCAACATACATGTAACGAATGAGTCCATGAAGCAAGAGTTCTGCTTGACCTCCAGGGGCTCCAGCCACGCAGTCAGCACATGAGTGACACAAATGACACAGGATTCAGTTACTTTAGACAGCAGGACATCCTGTGTCCTGTGAGTGGCCACTGCCCACAAGTGAGACGTACTGGCTGCCCGCCAGTGCTTCTCTCACCTTGAAAACATTAATAATTAGGAGACACTATGTCTAGTCCATGCCAGACATGAGTACTTAGGCTGCAGCAGAGGGTGCCTGGACCAGCCTTGTAACCAGAATGGGTTATGTGAGGCCAGTGCCGCCCACCACACCCAGCACCCAGCCCTCCCTATCAGAAGCCACTTCTAACAAAGAGGAAAGACTCGGGGCAGGAAGCGGGCAGGTGGTGGAGGACTCCACGGCTGGCTGGCACCTGTACCGGCAGGAGGAAGGCCGGAGCCTTGAATGCAGTCCTGGCTGGGCAAGGCCGCCTCCCCTCACTGCTCTCAGCTTCTCACCCACTGCCCTGGTGGCAGGGCTTTTTCCTTTAAAAGTGGTAAATGGATTATGTTCTTGGTCTCCTTAGGGGATGTGCTAGAGGAGCTGGGAACAGCATCGAGTGTTGCCTTAGAGTAAAGGCGCCCCCCCAGGGAAGAGCCTTCCACATCCTTGGGAAGGTTTCCGTTTCCTTACACGTGAGGACAGCTGGGCACCTGCTGACGAGGACACCCTTCGTCCTCACACGCCTGTCTCTGCCAGTCACTGACAGGCTGCCTCCCCAGCTGCTCCCAGGACACAGGGCTTGCAGCTAGAGCTCTTGGTCACTTGCCCATCCTGGACCCCAAAGCAGACGCGACGGGTGGTGGAGTGGGGAGCAGCTGTTCCCTCACCTCATCAGTTGTGCCAAATGTAACTGGGTTTGTTTTGGACAAAAACTAGGTAAAGCTTAAAGCACTGATATTCCATTTTTTAATTCTTTAAAGATCAAGTTCTTCTAACTCCCGAAACTTTAAACTACAGTAGCAAACTTCTGACTGGCACGTCTCCAGTGCAGGCACAGTCTGGGTGTCTCTGCCCTGCAGAGGCTCAGGACACTGGTCAGTGCTGGGAGAGCTCGTGTGCCCACGTCGTGCTTCCCTTGTGGCACACCTGGAGAGCAGCCTCCCTCTGCTGCTCACCCTAACCCTGTAGCCTCCTCCCCTTGAAGGCTGAGAGCCTAGACAAGGCACTGAGAGCTGCAGATGTGACCAAGGGCCACCTCCTCAGGCCGGAAAGCCACAAGCACCACTCTGCACTTACAGTGTAGTCTAACAACTTTGAAGTTTATCAAAACAGAGAGTAAGTACTATTCCAATGCCTTAGATGTCCTAACCTGGAGAACCAGAAGCAAGAGTATTTAATTACGGTTAAGTACTTTGCTAACTCGAGGTATAAGGCCATCCAGCTATTTCTCAGAATTGCCACAAATTGTGAATCCCTGTGGACTGGCATCTGAAGGTTCTCACAGCCCACACTGACTGAGCACTGTCCCTGGACTTCCATAAGCACTCACGTATTGGACTGCTGGGAGAGTCACAGCGAACAAAGTTATTTTCCAAAATAAAGACTCCACTTTTTGGAACATAGAGCAATCTACAAACACATTGAGATTTCTTAAGTTTACAAACATTATTGCTCTACTATTACAGGTTTTCTAGACATAATGAAGTGTGCGCTGTAACCAGATGCTTTTATTTCAGCAGTGAGCAGAGCTGTGAGGGAAACACCAAGACCAGAGAAGTGCCTTGGACAGCAACAGAGAAGCGGAGCTGTCTTTGTGAACAAGAGATTTATTTTTGCAGACAGACCCCATCCAAACTCCCCGAGTTCTGTGTGCTGCTGACCCCAGGTAGAGGTTCATGTTCCACAGGGCACCACGTCTGTCATTGAACCTGCTATTTGTTATAGAACCAGAGAATGCCCCACATTGGTTTGTGTTGTATAGTAACATCAGACTTCATTTTCCTATTAGGTGAAACCACAGATTATTTCTTTAGAAACATAGGCAGAATTTCAAACTATATTTTCATATAGCATACACTATGATTTGATATTTTTATTACTTTTTCAATTAAACTCCCAGAGTATTATTTGGTATTGCATGAAAAATTAAAAAAAAAAAAACACTCTAGTTGTGTTTTGGAGACAGTGGAGTGTAAATCTGTGAATATATCAGGCTAATTCCCTTTGTCCTCTGTATAACAGATGTAATATAGTATGCCAGCTATTGTGCAATATGTAAATACTGTAAATAAAGACATAATAAATGAAGTGTTTGTTATAATGGATGGTCTCCAGCCTTTGTTGTATTGAGTGGTCTTCAAGGTGACTACCTGTGTGACAAGTTCATCCTTGGACATTCTTGATTTACAAATCCAACAAGGGGTCATTCACTGGCAGAACGTCACAGAACTTAAAAGGCATAAATTCATGAAACTCAAAGGCTAAGAATTTCTGTTAGGGACAATTATATTATTTTTAAACTGTAGATGCTCCTATGTGCTAGTGACATAATTTCATAAGGCAGTCTCTGACTTCATAGCAAGAATTCCAAGTAAGGCAAAATCCATTATTTCCTATGACTGTTAAAATGAAAACATTAAAGAGCCTTAAGACTTCTAAGCAGTCCCAGGTTTTAACAGGTAAGTAGGTTTTAAACAAATTTCATGGATCCAACTTAAAAAAGATGGATTGAATTCAGTAAAGCAAGACATCCCCGGTGCATACGGTCGGTCCCTTGTCAACAGTGGCAGCTGGCAGACAGAGCCTTGCAATGTTTGAGGGTCTGTAAGACCCAAATGCAAAGGTTAAGGGAAATGAAACTCTGGAACAGAAGGGTAAGAAATCTCTCCACCTTGACGTTGACATCCAACAAGCTGGATGATGAGGAGAGCTCCGGTTAGCCCCTTTCTAACCACAGCTAATGTGACATTCCTACACCTCAATACTCCCAGCCTGAACCTGTGAGCTCATCTGCTCCTCAGTTCCACTGGCAGCCACGCACACCATCAGCAGAGCTCTCCTGTGACAACCTCACCATTTCTGCACGGGAGTGGGGTGGAAGCACCTTATCCTCATCTGGGCTGAGCTCAGCCCCGAGGCAGAGGTCCAGGACTGAAGGCTCCTCCCATTCCCAGCCACGTGGGGCCTCTCTGGAGGAGGCCAGGCAGGGAAGCCCCTCATCCCCCTCACCTCCTTATTCTAGTGGGTGATGACCCACTCGGCCCTGGGTTGAGGAATGATCTTTGACTAAAAGTTCCCCCAGGATGTGAGGTCCTACTGTGAACACAGGGTCAAGATGGGGGCGAGAAGCTGGCACATGGCACAGCGCCAAAGTTGCTGCTTAGGACACCGGAGCCCATACCTGAGTGCCGGAGTCCTGGTTCTGCTTCCAATCCCAGCTTCTTGTTCATGCACAACCTGGGAGGCAGCAGGCGATGGCTCAGGTACATGGGTCCCTGCCACCCACGTGGGAGACCTGGACTGAATTCCTGGCTACTGGCTTTGGCCCTGCTCAGCCTTGGCTGTGGCAGACATTTGGGAGTGAACCAGCAGATGAAGAACTCTGCCATCTTTCTGCTTTTCTAATAAAGTGAAAATAAAAACTTAAAAAAAAAAATGGTGGGGGGAGCTAACAGCACCCACCGGGCTCTGCAATGGCTGATAAGGCAAGGACAATGACGGCTGCAGGGACCTGAGCCCTCACCGCGACATAACTGTGGCAGCAGCAAGCTGATCTCCATCTTCTGATTCCTAACACCCATGACAAATACACTCACATCACAGCACATGTGACAGGAAAGGCCAACACTTTCAGATCTTTTCTCACGTAGCCACGGAAAAGCAGACACCAGATCCATATCTCAGTTGTATTTTTGTAACTCTCCAGTTTATTTTGAAAACAATTGTTTCTGGCATACAACCATGTAAGTTAAGAATTAGTTATCTGAAGGACAGAAATGATCTATATTTGTTATAAACTTATTAAAAGCTAACAAAGAAATACTAACATGCCAATACTTAAGCACATCAACACAACTGAACTTTTTTAGATCATTTTCCCACCTAGACCAATTTGCATTTGGCATTTGGATGATGTGGGTATAAACACAGAAGTATTCAACCCTCCACAAGGGAAGACAGCATTCACGCATCCTTCTTCTGGATGTAATTACATTGCAGAAATAAAGTGGCTCAAGTGGGAGGAAACAAGCTGAGCCCCTCAAGAAATAAACAAAAATCAGCAAGTGTGAAAGGTGGTGATTCCATAAACTTTTCTCTTTCCTGTCTCCCAGTAGACAAGAGTGCACTCTGGGTATGTGAAGTAAAACTTCTTATAGGGCAGCTCCACAAAGGGGTGCGGGGCGAGGAGAGGGCACCAGGAGGGTGGAGTGCACCTTCCCGCACTTCCCTCACAGGCCACTGCCTCCACGTCACACTGCCTTGGATGCTGACCTGGGGCTCCGAGTCCTGTTTCGCTGTTGCATTTGTTCTACTCTGTTCTGTGGTGTTTGTTCCCCTGTTTTTGTAATTGGGGCAGAGAGCAAGGCTCAACTAGTCTAAGAAGGCTTAAGATTTTTATTTATTATTCTGCATGTACAACTGATTTCCATCAACAATTATTGTTTAAGATAAAGTCAATGGAAGACAAACATGAGGCCCAGGGAACATTCCGGCATCTGAGCATGCAGCAGCCGGCGGGGACTGCCCAGCCCTAGTGGGCTTTCTCCAGGAAGGCCCTGCAGCACCGCACACACTGCTGGTATACAGCCTCGAAGTCCGCGTCGTTCCCCTGAAATGACAGCGAGAAGAGAAGATAGCAACCTGCATGGCAAGTGCCCCAGGAGGACCTGGGTCTGCCTCTTAATCCGGCAGAACAAGACTGGGCTCTGGCCAGCTTTACATCAGCCACAGGTGAGCTGTACTTACATAATAGGGATCTTCAATAATGAGTTGTTTTTGTGGATCATAGCTCCCAAGTAGTTCAATTTTAGCTTTGCAGTTTTTAACTTGATTACTTTTTCTATTCAAATCTCTGTAAAATTGAAACATGCACTTAGTTTTCTGATCTGTGGTTTCAAGTTAAACAGGGACATCTGCTCAGGGTTTATGAGACATCCATATCAAAACCCAGCAAAAGTGACCTGATTTGAAATGAAACAGAATACGCAGCAGATCTGCCCGACCCTTCCCGCAGCTGCGTGTCACAGCTCTGTCTCCTGGACAAGACAGCCTGCAACCACAGCGTCATCCACTGCTTTGTTACACAAAATAGCATCTTCAACTCAGACAGTAATTATGATTTCCCCTGTGAAATACATTTTCAGACAATCAAAGAGATATTGTTTGAGAGACAAAACAAAGGTGACAAGAAGGAACTCAAAGAACCACAAGACCACGTCCCAGCCAGAGCGCTGTGAGCCCCACGTGGGGCAGCTGGCGGTGGGCGTCACGGCCCGTCTCACTGCGGGGGCTGCGCCTCCCTTTACTCCTCAAGCCTCTGCCCTTCAGCTCTCACTGCTGCGCGAGGAGGATACACTCAGCTATGCTACATACCGGCCATTCCCCGGCTGAACACAGTGTTTACATGTGGGAAATCAACAGCTAGGAATGCCCATCATGTGAGGGTTCATGGCTCAGAGGTCAGGCGGGAGCCCTCAAGGTCTAACACACTGGCCGCGGCTGCCGGTAGCAGTCTGCATAAAGAAGAGGGTCTAGACTAAAACAGGCCTGAGACATCGGGAAGAGCATGTATGAACACTGGGAGGCTGCAGACCTGTGCCAGTCAAAGCAGTCTTCTAATAAGATGGTTTTTATAATACCTGTAAGTTACAGCGTAAGTAAAAAATGAGAGCAAAACAAACTGAAAAGCCAAAATGGAAAACTATTTTAATGAAGGTCTTTTTTTTTAAGGATTTTATTTATTTATTTGACAGGTAGAATTAGACAATGAGAGAGACAGAGAGAAAGGTCTTCCCTCCATTGGTTCACCCCCCCAGATGGCCGCTACGGCGCTGCACTGATCCGAAGCCAGGAGCCAGGTGCTTCTTCCTGGTCTCCCATGCGGGTGCAGGCGCCCAAGCACGTGGGCCATCCTCCACTGCACTCCTGGGCCACAGCAGAGAGCTGGACTGGAAGAGGAGCAGTCGGGACTAGAACCGGCATCCATATGGGATGCCAGCACCACTGGCAGAGGATTAACCTAGTGCACCACGGCACCAACCCCATGAAGGTCTTAATTAATGAAAAGTATAAAACTATTTTTTTTTTTATTTTTTGACAGGCAGAGTGGACAGTGAGAGAAAGAGACAGAGATACAGAGAGAAAGGTCTTCCTTTGCCATTGGTTCACCCTCCAATGGCCGTGCAGCAGGCACACTGCGCTGATCCCATGGCAGGAGCCAGGTACTTATCCTGGTCTCCCATAGGGTGCAGGGCCCAAGCACTTGGGCCATCCTCCACTGCACTCCCTGGCCACAGCAGAAAGCTGGCATGGAAGAGGGGCAACCGGGACAGAATCCGACGCCCCAACCGGGACTAGAACCCGGTGTGCCGGCGCCACAAGGCGGAGGATTTGCCTAGTGAGCCGCGGCGCCGGCCTAAGTATAAAACTATTATACCACATCTGTTTGTTCCTACAAAGTAATTAAAAGCACAATTTCTCGTCATCAAAAACATGGGATATGGGTTGAAAGAGGACACGATGAGTTCCTGAAGCAGAGTGGGGCAGGAGCACCCAGGGCGGGGACTCCTCAGAGCCCAGGCTTCCATCTCCCATACCCACCGGCTTTGTGAACCTGGGGAAGTAACCTGACCGTGCTGTCCCCCAGCATCCTTTCTGATAAGACGGGCAACAGATGAAGCTACGGAAGTGCTCTGGCACACAGGGTACAGAACCGCCAGCCCAGGGTGAGTCACTGTCACCCAACACCTCGGTCCGTCCATTTTAGTTTTTTAGATCAATTAAAAACTTACAAACAGGCTTACTTTGTGGGGAGGGCAATTGTTACGAGGGAGTAAGATGAGAAACAGTGAACTAGCATCCTGCCCCTGAGTCATCCCAGCGGTCACAAGTCCTCCCCACAAAGCCACGCATCATGGCCACACCGGGCCACGAGCATCAGACCGTCCTATCTAAGGCACATCTTCTGGAAAATCCGCCCATGCTGCAACTTGAGATGACACTATTGAGTTTCTTGCGATGCCAAATGGATTAATCTGTATATTGTGACCATCACTATTAAAAATGTTCAGATAATAAAAAAGTCACCTTGGACACAAACAACTTGACCTGTTACTGAACTGAGAGCTGAACAAAAGTACTCTTCAAGTGATTACCTCAGGTTGCTTTCATCCATACACAGTATGTAGTCAAAGGTGGCAAAGTCTTCCTTGGTGACCTGGAATTGAACAAGAAGTGAGAACGCAGTGTAGCCCGGAGGGTCAGGAGCCTTCCGTGACACACACACCCCCTGTGGTACCCGTGTCTGTGAGGGATGTGATCAATCACATGTAGGGCGCTTTCTCCAGACACAGTCACCCCGCCTCGCAGACTTCCACACACGCCTCATGCCTGAGGTGACATGGGCTGCTAGGGAGGCCTCTGCATGTCCTGCCACCCTGGCCACACGGCAAGGGGGCCCTAAGGGAGCAGCAGGAGATCTCCCTCCAGTCCCCCCAACCAGCCTCTGCCTCTGGCCCCTGGCTGAGAGGCTGCGACCCTGCCCCTTGGGGGCCTGACACTGCTCATAAGCTCAGAATTACTGCTTGCCTCGCCCATGAGAAGCAAGCAGGTGGTAAGAGGGAAGGAGCACAAAGGCGGCGAAGGCTTCTTCTGCAGGAAGGCCCTGCACGCTGTTGGCAGCCCCGTGGACACCGCTGTGTGGCTGGACGCAGGGACACACATGACAGCCCCGGCTCTCCCCGCGCTTCCGTGCCTTTTCACCACAGCTGTTTAATAATTGCAGAAGACCTTACCTTGTGAACATTCCCAAAGCACTTACTGCAAAACATACTGCAACAACTGTGATGTGAAATATTATATTATTTCTCCAAATTACTCATGTGGAAAATGCCCCACGATTTAATACTGAACATTTTCTTTTAGACTGTACCTGTCCTAATAAAAGAAATACTCAGTTAACGTACTAAATAAAATCATACTTGATTTTTATTTATTTACCTTTTTAAACAATTTGGAAGTTTTCCTTCTTTTATTTGTTTTTAATTATTATTGTATTTATTTGCAAGGCACAGAGAGAGGAGAGAGAGTGCTCTCCCTTGGTTCAGTGCCCAGATGCCCACAGTAGCTGGGGCTGGGCAGGATGAAGCCTGGCACTCCCTCTAGTCCTCCTGCATGGCTGGCAGGGCCAAGCACCAGCCCTCAGCTGCTGGATCCCAGGATGCACATTAGCAGGAAGCTGCAGTCAGGAGCAGAGCCAGGACTCGAGCCCAGACCCTCTGATGTGGAATGCAGGAGTCCTGTGCCTACTTGACCACTGTGCCACACACCTGCCCCCATGCATGACTTTCAGACGTTAAAACAGGAACCACATCACTCAGACCGCACAGAGAATGCACAATGTAGGGCCTCTGGGGGCAGCTATAACTGGAATGAGTTGTGGCAAACCAACCCACTACCAAAAACAATGAGTAAATCCCTACAGAAAAGCTAAACACCTCTTCACAGTCAGCACTGCCCCTGGGCCCCGCCAGCAGGGGCGGCCCTGTGGACAAGCAGGGCCCTCAAACCCTATAGCAGCAGAAGCCTTTCGACTCCCCAGAATGACGCAGCCCCACCTCCAAACAGCGTGTTTACAGAAGTGAAAACTACTGTTTATCATAGTCACCAACAGTGGAGAAATGTTAGAACATAGCCCTTCATGTAAAATTGCTACAAATGCACTGTTAGCATGATTTTACCTCTGTAAACTACTGCACTCTCCCAACCCAGTTCTGCGGTGTGGACAGGAAGCACAGGAGTGGACCCGCGGTGTGGAGGCAGCGCTCCCAGACCTTTGCAGGTGACTGACACCTCAGAGAGCCACAGCTTCCTAGCAGGTGAGTCCAGAACCAATCCCTGACTTTGCATTCGCACCCACGGCCGGTCCCTTGGTGGCTCTCTCACGAGGCTCAGGGCTCCCTTGACCACACTTTGAGAACTGCAGTTTAGACTCAGGGAGAGGAGACTTCTGATTCTCACAATGCAGGTGGGACCCAGGACGACCCCACACACAGTGACCTGGACCCACAGTCAGTGTGCCCAGGCTGAGGAGCCCTGTGCCATGGGCTAGGAAAACTGGCAGAACACAGCAGCCCCGTGTGCAGTGCCGTGGGACACAGGTGGCACTGGCGGGACAGTCTGCTGAGGGAGGAGACCCCAGAACAAGAGGAGGCTGACATCACTCAGGGATGTGTGTGGCACCGCTCAGGCGAGCTCAGACTCAGAAGCAAACACCTCAAGCTCTTTACGGGACGCAGGGGCAGGCAGGCGCAGCCCGAGTCTCAAGTCAGCTAGGCCACTCACCCTCCTGGCCTGCCCTAAGCTGTCTCCACACAAACCTCAACCAAAATTCCACAACTTCTCCCCAAGCTTTCAATAAAACAAAGAGAACAGAACGAACGGCAAAGCAGACTCACAAATGCATCAGGTATTTGCTATTGGACTTCATTTAAAATATAACCATGCTAGTGATAATACAAAAAGTAGAAAGATGCAAAGTCCACCAGAAAACTAGAATTCTCAAAAAATAAAATAGAAGTTACAGAAATAAGCAAATAATAAGACACGAGAAACTATCCATCTTCTAGACTTTTCTGGAGAACACCAAAAGGGACCATCCCCAGAGTTCTGAGCACCTCGCACAGGATGCTGGGTGTGAGCCCCACAGAACTTGGGCGTGGCCGCAACAGCCGTAGCCCCAAGCCAGGACAACCCAATGGGTCAGTGAGCAGCGACAGCACCACCACGATGAGCTGTTCCAACAGGAGATCCTTGGAAGCAAGAGGAGCTCCTGGAAAATGCACATGCTGGGGTCTACTTCCACGGCTTGAGAGAGAATGAGTCTGGGTGACTGGACAAGGGGGAGTGGCCGCCAGGGGCCAGGGCTGCACTCACAAAAGGACATCTAGACAAACAAACCACACAAACTGATAGCAAAAGGCCTCATGTGGCAACAAGTGGTGAAGCACACCTCACTAGCTCTGTAAAATTAAGAAGAAAAAAATTGGTGAGAGAATTTTCTTAAAAGCAACAAGGAAAGAAAAAATATGAAACTAGCTTCTGTGGAAATACCTAAAAAAAACTGTTATTGAAACCAATTTTCTAGTTTTGCTTTTTAAAGACATATGTATTTAAAATATTTTATTTGCTGGGGCCAGTGCTGTAGCACAGCGGGCTAACGTCCTGGCCTGAAGCGCCGGCATCCCATATGGGCGCCAGTTCTAGTCCTGGCTGCTCCACTTCCAATCCAGCTCTCTGCTACTGCCTGGGATAGCAGTAGAAGATGCCCCTGTACCCACGTGGGAGACCTGGAAGAAGCTCCTGGCTCCTGGCTCCTGGCTCTGGATTGGTGGAGTTCCGACCGTTGCGGCCAATTGGGGAGTGAACCAATGGATGGAAGATCTCTCTCTCTCTCTCTGCCTCTCCTCTCTCTGTGTAACTCTGACTCTCATGTAAAAAAATAAAAAATTTAAAAAAATATTTTATTTGCATCCATTTTTATTATACAGTGTATGAAAAATAATCCAACCTTAAAAACAGAGAGCATGAAAACACAACTGCTCCCAGCTCTGCAAGCCTACTCAAACCTAACTGAATCTGAGCATCAGGGTCTGGACAGGTATGCAGAGGCCTGAGGACAGGAAATGTGTGATCCTCTGCCAGGCTGCCTGAGAAAGTATCTAATTTAAATAAAAACCGCTGTCTGATCTGCATGATAAACACAGGGCCACCTCCCTGGAGAGTGGAGGGCTTGGCCACGCTTTGGCTGGACTTCAAACCTGAGTCTGGCACAAGGGCCTGGACTTGGATGCCCATCTATCAGCGTCACCCATATTTCTCAGGCACTATGCAGTTCTGTACGTTATAGAACTTGATTCTGGCAAAAACTCTGTAACAGAAGCAGAACAGTCCCTGTAGCTTGCATGCTCAATTAAAAATCGTGTAGGCAGAAACAGAATGGGGATCACAACTCTGGTGGCTCCTGGCCATCCTCATCATCAGTAACATGAACTTTCACACGCACATTAACAAATAAAGTCCAAGATTATACAAGTCCTCCAGAACCACGCACCAGAAGTGAAACAAAGGGGCAACCACCGCCAATCGAGTGTGGTCAGGCCTCTCAGGACTGCCCAAGGCACGGGACCCTACACACCAGAAATCAAACAAGAGCTCGTCTACCTGGCGTGCCCTATGGGCTGTGCCAATGCCATGATTTCTCAGGCAGCTCACGGCTCTGGGGTCCGGGGACCGGCCCACGTTCCAGTCGGAAACAGCGCCGCTGTCAATGCCCCACTGAAACAGAAAACACAAGTCTTCAGGTCAAGTACAGTACCTGCCGGGCCACGTGGCTCATGGGCACGCCGTGCCTCCGCATGCACTCCTGCCCGCGATAGTCAGGGGGGTTTCCTATCTCATAGGTGGATGTGGCCGCACTGTCTATCCTCCACTGCGGTAGAAAAGAGAGACATGTTTTCATAATTTCCTGCCTGGAGGTACTGGGGTTGTCTCCCGACACTGAATGGTACTCACATTGTCTGAAACGTTCTGATCAGTCACGAGTTTTCTGAAAACTGCTTCTGCAATGGGTGACCGGCAAATGTTACCTTAAAAAGAAGGAGAGACACAGAGAGAAGGTTAGGCCCGGAAAGTAGCCTTCAGGCCCAGCTAGAGGGGCAAATGCCAGTCCATGCCCTGACACATGGCAGCCACTTCCCGCCGTGGGGGCAGAAGTCAGAGCCAACCTGCCTGCAGGGCACACATGCCAACTGTCCCAGAGCTCAAGGCAGAAATGGCTTCAGAACAATTTTAACTAAAACCATTGCTTTTTAGGTTGCTATTAATGACAGAGTGTGTCACAAAATCAGGGAAGCTGTTCCGACAAGTTCATTTTGCAACGAAATGCAATAGAGTTATTTGCATTTTCAAATCTGTCACACATAATAAGGATGACTACTGTTTCATACAGTATACAAATAAGCTGATGTATTTAGGCAGACAGAGTTTCTCCACAAACTCCAAGTGAGTGGTCACATGCCCCAAGAGGATGAGAATAGGACTCAGCCAGCACCAAGGACAGCAGCCCTGTGGTCAGGGGTTCCCAGGAGCCCCCTGCCCCAGAGCAGCCGGCTATCGTGATTCTCTAGAATGACTCCCAGAACTCAGCACAGCACTGCATTCACAAGCACGGTTTCAGTATAACTCTCTCTCTCTCTCACCCACCCCCACACACGAGAACCAGCCAAAGAGACCCACAGTGTATACTCTGGAAGGGCTCCAGATGTGACCCCTCTGCCTCACATCACTGGGGTACAACGGCAGACACTGCACTGCCAATTGTGCTCATTTCTGAGGGTTAATTATGTTGGGTGCTTGGCTGGGTCACCCACCATGACACCCAGCCCAAGGCCTTGTGTTAGCACAAACAGCGAAGGTGCCAAGGGCCACACAGACCCTCTCACCACTCCTAGAAAATTCCAGGACCTTTAGGGTTTGCTCCAGGGAGCCAGTCAGTGGCTGAGTCCCTTCTTACACAGGGAAAACACAAAGGGCCAGTCTCCTTCCGACATGCACCACCGCGCCACGTACCAGGGAGATGCAGTTAGCTACAATCAGAGCGATGTTTACAGGAAGAAGAGAAAAATCTCAATGGAAAAAAGGACTGAGTTTCAGACACAGGAAGCAGGAGTGATGCCCTGCCACCCAGGGGCTGGAACACCACAAGCTGACTCGGCACAGCCAAAGCGCCAAGAAACCAAACATTTTGGGGAAGAGGTCGACGTGCTCCCACCAGGAGCCACACTGTGCCAGAAAGGTGTTTAAGAGACGCTTTCCATACAGGATGTTCCAGAAACACGAGGAGAGGACAAGACTGAAGGCAGAGAGCATCCAGGAAGAGCATGGAGCAGGGGGAAGCTGCATGGGGCAGAGGTGGGCGCCGCCCTCACCTGTCCTGAGGGTCTCCACCTGCAAGGGCAGTCAGGTCAACAAGAGAAGAGACACAAGACCCAGAGGCCCAGGAAAGCTGTGCCTCAGTGCTACTGCTCCTGCCCCAACGGCACGGCTGGGGCAACAGGCCCAGCGGGCCCTGGCCTCTCAGCACAGCCCTCCCTCCTGGTACGGGCAGGCTCCTCTGCAATGAGGGAGCGTTCAGGCTGTCCCTTGCTCTGAGGGACAGGAGGGCAGGGAGGGTCAGACGCCACTGCTGAGGCTACACAGCAGCCTTCAGCTCCAAGCACTCAGAACCAAGGAGGTGGCAAGAGAAAACGGAGGAAGGAAAAGAGCAGCTGTTGGAGCTGATGACGCTGGGGCCCAATTCTGCTCTGTTAATATCAGAATCGTCTGGTTTCTGACGAACAAGGGAGACTCTCCTAAAACAACTGTGAACCAGTTCACTGCCTGCACTGGACCACACAGCCTGTGGTCTGCACAAGTGTAAGCCATGAGCAGGAACAGGGAAGTTGCCTTGAAAGCCCCCTAGGCTCCTTTGTGCTCTGAGACTTTCCCCCTCCATTCTGAATTTTTGTTTGGTTTTAAAAACAGGCATTATCATCAACACTTTATGTATTTATTTCAAAGGCAGAGAGACAGAGGGGTGCAGGCGTCCCAAGCAGCATCTTAATTCCGGAGCCAAACACTTGCCCCAGTCAGCACCATCACGAAGACGTGACTGTTCTACTCATCAGACTCAGGGAATATTTTTTTTTTTTTTGACTGGCAGAGTGGACAGTGAGAGAGAGAGACAGAGAGAAAGGTCTTCCTTTGCCGTTGGTTCACCCTCCAATGGCCGCCGCAGCTGGCACACCGCACTGATCCGAAGGCAGGAGCCAGGTGCTTCTCCTGGTCTCCCATGGGGTGCAGGGCTCAAGCACTTGGGCCATCCTCCACTGCACTCCCGGGGCACAGCAGAGAGCTGGCCTGGAAGAGGGGCAACTGGGACAGAATCCGGCGCCCCAACCAGGACTAGAACCCAGTGTGCCGGCGCCGCAAGGTGGAGGATTAGCCTGTTGAGCCGCGGCGCCGGCCCCCCAGGGAATACTTTTAACAGCGAGTGCTCTACTCCAAATTAAGACACCTGTTAGCATTTTGGAACTCTAGAAGTAATAACAGATGCCTAGTATATTAGTATTTAAGGAAACAAGAACAACCCCCCTCACTACAAATCGGCATCTACTTTGTTCTACAACAATACAAGAGCCTGGACTGACAGCAAGAAGACATGCAACAGTGCACATTTTTTGAAACTGTGCACCAGGGGTGGGCACTGTGCAGCGGATTAAGCTGCAACCTGGGATGCCCACATCCCATCTGAGGGGAACAGGGTGGGGATCAAATCCTGCCTCTGCTTCCAGTCCAGCTTCCTGCTAATGCATCTGGAGACAGCAGCGCTGGCTCCAGGGCTTGGGCCCTGCCACCCACATGGGAGACCTGGATGGAGCTCCTGGCCCCTGGCTTCAGCCTGGCCCAGCCCTAGATGCTACCAGTGTCTGGGGAGTGAACCAGAAGATGGAAGATTCTGTCCATCTGTCACCCTGCATTTTAAATAAAAACGAATGAACAACTTAAAAAAAATTAACTTGCCCTCTGGATTTCAAACATTCACAACACCAAATTAATGTGTCAGTCAAACTGGAGCACCGGGTCGTTAGTAAAACACAGAACTTTGGGCGTTACTCAAGGAACAAGTCCTGAAAACTTCAAACATCACCATTATCTCCACCAAACACCCGGCAGAACCTGGCCAAACGCCTTCCCCAGGAGGTCCCGTTTCACAGAAGTAGGAAGCAGGCTCAACTCTCAAAAGGGCCAAAGAAATGCTTAGCAGAGGTGGGACTTCTTCATTTCAAAGTCACGCAGACCCTATGTCCCGTGGACGGACCACCAGGTCCAACGGCACCTCCCCCTCTGTCTCCCACCAGCCTCTCCTGCAGTCTACTCTCAGCACAGCAGCTGCTCCAGTCCCTCCAGGCCCTTCTCTCACTCGCGGCCTCCCTAGGGCAGCACCCACCACCTTTGTGCATCAGCTACAGAGCTAAGGAAAACGTTCACACTTTCAAATAGCTCCTGAAACCCCGAAAATGGAATGATATCTTGTGAAATGTGAAAAGCACGGGACTCTAATTCTCTGATCTGTAAACAAAGTTCTATTGCAACAGAGTCCCAGAGGGCCCACAGGTGCAGCCTCACTCTTGGTGGGGAGAGTTACAGGGACAGCTCCCCAGGACACGCAGACTCAACAGAAGACAACTCGGGCCTCTGGGGGGAAGATGTGCAGGAAGGCCTCACAGGAAGTGGGCTGAGTACTGGAATGCTAAAGCTGAAAGTCACTGTGAGTGGCAGGTACCTGAAGGGTTAACGTGGGGCTGGGGACCCAGCTTACAGACCTACAGGACTGAGTTCTACCTGGCTCAGTTCTGTTGTTGTTGATTTTAGATTTCTTTATTTATTTGAAAGGCAAAGAGACAGAAACAGACATTCCCCAGGCCACCAGGACAGCGACGGTTGGGCCAGACTGGAGCCAGGAACTCCATCTGGGTCCCCCAGAGGAACTCAAGGACTTGAGCCATCCTTCGCTGGTTCCCAGGTGCAGGAGCATTAGCGGGGAGCCGAGTCAGGAGCAGAGTGGCCAGGACTGGAACTGGCACTCCCGTGTGGGATGTGCAGCCCTCCCTGGTCAGCTTCTACAACCAGGAAACCCAGAACCAACCGCAGCCAGCACTCCAGCTTCCATCAGCTGCGGCCCGCTGGGAAGCACGGGCCAGGGACAGCAGCCAGCAAACCACGAGGCCCCTGAGCCGACCCTATCCTGCAGCAGGCCTGAGCTCGCCAAGGGACAGCGCTGGGAAATCGGAAGGACCCGGGCTCGCGGAGGCGATGCCGCAGACGCATGCGCGGGCGCACAGGCCTGTGCGGAGCTCTGGGGCCGAGGTGAGATGCGTGGATGCCCGCAGAGGACAGCAGGGGCAGCTGAGAATGAGTCCCTTCCCCATGGCTTTGACGCAGGCTGTCCCAGGCCGCAGTCCCCTCCCGCACCGTGAGTCCCTCTGCGAAAAGCCGCTCATTCCACCATGGGAGACGACAGGGCCAAGACCCTGATAGCCCGGGAGGCCAGTGCAAGGTTCTCAGGTTCCGGCCATCTCCCTGCTGACCCACCACAGATCCCAGGCCGGCCCCACGGCTCCCTGGGAATCGGCAGGCGCTGCAGGGCTCCTGCTCTGCGCGCCGCAAACCGCGGTCCCGGGCGTCAGGGGCCGGCCTGCCGCGCATCCGATCGGCGGGCCCAGTCCCCGGGCTCTACAGCGAGTGCCCGGGTGTTCCATAGCCACAGGGCGGACCGGGCAGGAGGGGGGGGGGGGACCCGAGTGGACGGCGGGCCGGACAGGTGCGAGAGGGCCTGCATGGAGACAGGGCCGGGCAGGTACCAGGTACGGGGGTACCCGCATGGAGACAGCGCTGGGCAGGTGCGAGGGGACCCGCATGGAGACAGGGCCGGGCAGGTACAGAGGGACCCGCATGGAGACAGCGCTGGGCAGGTGCCAGGTACGGGGGTACCCGCATGGAGACAGGGCCGGGCAGGTACAGGGGGACCCGCATGGAGACAGCGCTGGGCAGGTGCGAGGGGACCCGCATGGAGACAGCGCTGGGCAGGTGAGAGGACCCGCATGGAGACAGGGCCGGGCAGGTACGGGGGTACCCGCATGGAGACAGGGCCGGTCAGGTGAGGACCCACATGGAGACAGGGCCGGTCAGGTACAGGGGGTACCCGCATGGAGACAGGGCCGGTCAGGTACCAGGTACGGGGGGACCCGCATGGAGACAGGGCCGGTCAGGTGAGAGGACCCTCATGGAGACGGGGCCAGGCAGATGCGAGAGGATCCGCACGGACAGCGGGCCGGGCAGGTACGGGGGAACCCACAAGGAGAGCGGGCCGGGCAGGTGCGAGGGGACCCGCGTGGACAGAGGGCCAGGTAGGTGCGGGGGACCCGGCGAGTCCGATACAGTTCGTGTCGACCCTCACGGCCCGCCCCCTCCTGCAGAATGTATCAGAACAGGGTCAAGTCGGCGCCCTCTTACCCAGACACACAAACAGCACCGACTTGGACGCCGGCTCGGCCATCTTCCCGCGCGCGCAGAGGCGCCCACTGACCGCGTCGGTTCCGGCTCCAGGCGGCGCATGCGCTTGCGAGCCCCGCCCCCGCGCTTGCGTAGTTTGACGGCAGCGCCCCCTGGACGAGCCTGCGCAGTCGGCAGCACCGCACCCGCGGGGCCGGGCCGGAGGCGGGGCTGTGAGTCACCTGGAGGAGAGGGCGGGGCCGCGGGGGCGGGGCTCGGGACCCCCCGGGGACGGGGGCGGAGCCAAGGCCGCGCTCACCTGAGCGGAGGGCGAGGCCGGCGGGGCCTGGGGCTCTTGCCCTGGGACCCCGAGCCAGCGGAGGGCGGCGGAGCGATACCTTGGCCCCCGCCGCGGAGTGGCACGAGCCGCAGCCCCCTGCGCAGCTCAGTGGTGCTCCCGCACTCCGCTGGCCGGGTCTTCCGTTTTCAGAAACCCTGTGGGTGGGCATCGGACGCTCTGGGCACCTCCTGCGCCAACTCACACAGGTGCTGGGCGCCGGGCAGAAGTGGGCGTCCACCTGCTTCTCACCTGGCGCAGGTGTGCTGGGCGGAGCCGAGCGGAGCGCACCCTTCCTCTTCCTGCGCAGGGCGCGGCGGCGGTGCGGGGCGCGAGTGAGTACGGGGCCGCGGTGGGCGCGGCGGAGGGCTCGCGGGAGGCTGGAGGGGTCGCCTGCGTGCGGGGCTGCGGGGGCCGACGCCGCTCCCGCGGACGCCCCCGTCCCGGCTCTCCCGGTCCTTCGCCGGGCCCCGTCTCCTCGGGATCCCGCGGGGTCCTCCCCCAGAGCGACGTGAGGCCGCTGCGGGACGCCGGCCTCGCCGGGCGGTCGGTGTGGGGGGAGCGCTGCGCCCGAGCGGCGGAGACGGGGAGCACCGCGCTGGGACAGCCCGCGCCCCGCTCTCGCACCCTGCAGCGCGGAGGGGTCGGGGGCGCGGTCGGGGTCGGGCCCGGGCCTCCTGCGGGGTCTCGCGTGGAGGCGCGGCGCCGCCGGCTGAGGACAGACCCGGTGGGCTCCGCGGACGCCGGCGCTGGTGGGATTGAGAACTGTGTCGTCGGCCGCTCGTCCCGGCGCTGTGTTCGGGAGACGCCTCGCCGGGAGAGAGGACGTCCAGAAAGGGAGTCCGCGTGCGCCTGCCGCCCTCGCACGCTGGGTGGTCTGGGTTTTCCGCGCGGGGACCGGGCCGAGTCCTGCTCCGAGGCGGGGGCTGCCCACCCTGCCCCGCGCCGCGGCCTCCCTGGAGCCCGGGGACGAGACAGGCGCGGGGAATGGCCTTCAGTGGTCAGCGTGGTCTCAGGCCCGTCCGGGAAGGTCGCTGACCCGAGGCGGAGCGCCTCTCAGAGGCCTGGGGCTCAGGGCAGGCCCACGGAAGACCAGGCTGGCTGCGCGCACCGAGGCAGCGGCCTCAGGGGCCAAGGCCGCGTGGCAAAGCCCCTCAGGGTCGGGAGCAGCGTTGTCCTGGCTGCCTGGACTCTAACCATTCCTCCCCGGTGCCCCGTGACCTCAGCAGCTCTGCTCTCTCTGCCGGGGGTGATTTCATCAGCTGAGTTGACCTCTATTTCGTGTGCATGGTAAACCTCAGTGATTTGACTAATACAGATTAATCAGTGGAAATTAGCAAAACGGTTTCTGAACTTTGTCTTGTGTGGGTACTCCTGGAGTAACTTAGGGTCCAATGAGGAAAGCTGTGTCATGGATGAGCCTCCCTGGGAGGGAAGCTTGGGGATCCCCCATCTGGGGCTGGACAGGCAGGGGCTTGGGTCTCCCCTTTGCTCCTGACCCCTGGAGGAAGGCTGCATGCAGGACTCTGGGTCAGCACTGGCCCCCGGCGACCCTGCCCCTCAGTTTGTGGTCCTACAGTCAGGTGTAAAGTTATTTCCAGATCTTAAGTTCTTGACAAGTCTGGAACATCCCTAAGTAAATCTCCCAGTATTCTACAAATCTTTAATTAAAACAAACAAACAAACAAAAAAAACTTAGTGTGGAGATGTTCAGATGTTTTCATTACTTTTTAAAGGAAGCTTTACACGTTTGCCTGACGTTTGGCCCTTAAGGAAAAGTCTCAAAAACTCACAAGCACTTGCTCAGCCTTGGATCGAGACGCAAGGCTTCTGTGAGTGTTCAGATGCTGGCCACGATTAAAAGTGTGAGCGTCCATTCGTGATGATGTCATCCTGCCCTGACAGTGCAGCATCAGGGTCCTGGCCGCCGCCCCGCTCCTGTGCCGAGTATCAGGGAAACACGGGGCAGTGTGCTTTCATGCTGAGGACAGGAACTGCGACTTCTGTCTACCTTTTTGATTTTTTAATTGTTAAGATTTTTTACTTTTTACTTGAAAGGCAGAGTTAGCGAGAGAGGGAGAGACAGAAAGAGAGAGACCGTCCATCTGCTTGTCCACTCCCCAGATGGCCGCACTGGCCAGGGCTGGGCCATTCCCAAGCCAGGAGCCTGGAGCTCCACCCAGGTCTCCAGCATGGATGGCATGGGGCCAAGGACTTGGGCCATCACCTCTGCTTTCCCAGGAAAAGTAGAGCAGCCAAGACTTGAACCTGCGCCCCTCCATGTGTTAGATTTAATATTAGCATTGCATTGCATAATGTTACATAAGCAGAGTTGAGAGCAGGTGGCTCCTGGTTTACACTTCCGTGCATATTAGCAGGAAGCTTGGTCTGGAGTAGAATCGCCGGGACTAGAACCAGGCACTGCAATACGAGATGCGGGAATTCCAGGTGGGGATTTAACCACTGTGCCAAGCGTCAGCCCTAAATTGTTCTTATTTGTAGATTATTTTGTTCTGGCAGAGAAACTCAGTGTGTATAACTGCTGCTGGGCAGGATGACTTAAGGGAGAGTAACAGAACGTGGTACTTCCTGTGGGACAGCTGACACTGAAGACGTGCTCCCTGTGCCAGGCTTGTCGACTGTCCACCTGATTCCAAGCGCGGTAGCCGCCTTCCCGTGTTTACAAAGCCAGCTCTGACCTTCCGCTCAGGCAGGATGTTTGCAGTAGCAACTCTTGACTGTGGAATTTGCTAATTTGGATGGATACTGCTTGCTTGAGAGAGTTCAAAGCAGAAAGTCTCCTGGGGAATAGGATTTATGTATTATTTACTCTGCCTTAGTTGCACGTGTCGGAAAATCTGGTCTGTGTTGGCTTTAGCAGAAGAGGGTTTCACTGGCTTGTGTGAGTAAAGTCCAGGGCTGCCTCTGACCTTGGCCGGGTTCTCTGTCCACCTCTGCCACTGGCTCCCTGGCTTTGCTCTTCGATCCCCACAGGGATGTGCCTGTGGGGACAAATCTGGAGACCACAGGGACCTGCCTTGGACAGGTGGATTCTTCCAGCTCCCACACAAGTCCCTGGCTGTGGGCGGGGGTTGGGAAGCTCTCCGGGCACAAGGACAGGCTCCCCTAGACTGCAGGCCTGGCGTACCTGCCCCACAGCAGGTGCCCGGGCCACGGCATCAGTGGGGCAGACCGGTCGTGCCGCTCCTGCAGTAGAGCGGCTTGGGCTCTCAGCAACAGAAGAAACACATTGCACGTAGTTCACTGACGCAGCTCCGCAGAGGTGCGTAGGAAGCACAGTGCTGGCCTGTCAGGCTTAAACAGTTCAAAGGGAGGAGCAGTGAGAGCACACAGGAAGCAGACAGACACACGCACAGGTGTGCCAGGAATGTCAGAATTCTGCTGGCCACCCTCATTTTCAGTCAAGCCTGAACCCCTCCCCTCTCCCTGTGTGCAGTTATGGGGGGGCGGGGGGCGGAGGAAGAGGCACCTGCTGTGTCCTCACCACTTTGCTTGTCTTCAGTTACTTGCACTGAGAGAACCTTCTCAGGGCCCTGGTACGCAGCCTGGCAAAGACTCCTGCAAGCGGGGCGTCTGCTCCCCGGTTCTCTGCAGGGTGAACCCTAAGGCCAGGGGAGAACCTTCTTGCTCCCTGGTCTCCCTGCACTCAGCCCCTCCCCTGCCCCCCTAGTTCTGCGGTGCTGGTGGCTGCCCTGGGAAGGGCTGTGGTGGGTACTGCACCCCCCACCTGCCCCTGGCTGCTCCCCAACCCCGCGCTCTCTGTGGTCTCAGCAACAGGAAGCTTTGCTACGTCTTCCTCTAAACCATTGGATTTTCTTTACAGATTCCTCACAGGGATTTGCCTGTTAATTCCTGAAACCCAACAGACACTTCACGTACAGCTGTTTCCTGGGCACTTGTTATGTGTCAGGCATTCTCAAGCGTGCTAGGTGTCTGTTACAGTCAATGAAATGCCTCCCGGGACTCAGCCTGGCGAGGGAGTAGACAGGAATGGCCGTGGCCGTTTTGCAGGCTGCAGACCTCAGAACGATGGGGAAAGCTAAGCAGTGACGTGGCTTTGAGGCCTTTCTCGGAGAGAAGCCAGGAGCAGGGAGGTGAAGCTGCCGCTCAGACCTGGGGCTGGCTGGCGGCAGGACAGGGTGTGATGGAATCGGAGTCTGGTACATTTGAAGACTTATGTTCTGTTGGGCTTTGCTGATGGGCTGGCCACAGGCAGGAGAGGAATGGAGCAGTCACCACTGGCCCAGGTTCTGGAGAGAGAAGCTGCAGAGCAGGTCATGCAACCTGTGGGCTGTTGTGTTTGAGATGCTGTCGATAATATTGTGAGACTGGAATTTAGGGGAAGATTAAGGAACAGGTAAAACTCAGAGAAGCACCAAAGTGCTTGAAGCCAGAGAGAAAAGAGAGGAAGCACCCTGCTGGGCTGTGGAGCAGCCACATTCAGCAGGTGGACAGAAAGTATGCAAAACATATTCAGCAAATGCAGAACAGGAAATGAATGAGACAGAAATTCCATTTAAAATAAAAATTCATGCACACTGTCGTCTCTCTGATGTGGCTCCTAACAGTGAAAAATTTTTTAAAGGTTTGTTTACTTGAAAGGTGAGCTAGAGAACATGGTTTCATCTACTGGTTCACTCCTTAAGTGGCCACAACGGCCAGCCGGGGCTAGGTCAGGCGGAAGCCAAGAGCCAGGAACTTCATCTAGCTTCATTGGCAGGGGCTCAAGCACTTGGGCCATCTTTTGCTGTTGTCTCAGGCACATTAGCAGGGAACTGGTTTGGAAGTGGAGCAGCCAGGACATGAACCAGTGCCAGTATGGGATGCC